AAAAAACAGTTTTGTTGATTAAAAAACACTATATCGGATTCATATCGGTATCGGCAGATATCCAAATTTATGATATCGGTATCGGTATCGGACATAAAAAAGTGGTATCGTGCCATCTCTACTTTTTACATTGAAATATATTTGAAAATATATTTTATAATTGTCAGTAGTTTTGCTTATTTTATAATTCCAATTAAATAATCCATTAAAAATGGATTAACTTTAAGAACTACTTGATGCCACGCGATTTAAAACGGAATTCTTAATTTTCTTTTCTGCCTTTTTTGATACCAAAAACAAAAGCAGACAGGTTATCTTTATACTTTAAAATGGTTAGCAGTCTGAAGTTTGAGAATGGCTGTAATGATTATATGTTTCCACTTAAGTTGGTGGTTAGCTATTTGACAGGCAAAAATGATCTGTAGGTGCAAGGAAAGAGAAAGGGAAGTGGAGGAGCTCAAACAGCAGCTGCAAGCTGAAAGGTTGAGCAGAAGCACACAGGAAGTGCAGAATTGCCCTGAGGATGAAGAGCAACAACAGAGAGATGTGAGAGAAGTCCTCCAGGGCGTGCTGGATGATGAGAGAAGAAGGTCGGGAAACTCTGAGCTGCAGGTAAAAAGTAAAAATCTTAATGTGCTCACATGAGGGAAGAAAGAGCCAATGAAATCACAGAAAAATTACTCTCCAATCAGGCGAATCTCTTTCAGAGGTTTATGTTAAATCGTCACCATGCAGACCAGGAAAAGATTGCAGACCTAGAGCGACAGGTATGACAGGCACATTTACTTTCTGTTAGTTTTCGCAGTTTCGTGTTGCTGATTTACCCATTGTTAATGATGGCGCAGATTAATGACAATGCACAGAGGATGGCCAGTTTGTGTTTTTTAATAAGTCTTTTGGAGATAAAAAGGTTGCAGTATGCAAACACAGTGTGCTCTGTTTTGTCTGTGCCTGCCTTCTACAGCCACACATTATCTCTTTTATTATAGTGTTATTCATTCAGTTCATCGCAGTGACAATTTTTTACATTTTAGATCCAGATTTCTTCACAAGACCTTGAGGATGAGAGGCAGAATTGCTCTTATTTAAAGAAGCAAATGGTCAAAGTTCTGAAGGCATTGCAAAAAGGAAAAGGCCATGTGGCAAAGCAGTTAAAGGTTGGCGTCAGTATCTAATCAGAGGATGATAAGATTGATCTGTGATCAAACTTAAAGCTGCATTAATAGAGTTTTTACCCCTCAGCCTTTAAAGGATAAAAAGTGCCCACCCCATCATGGTGTGGACGCCAACGTTTCTGAACATGATAACTCATGAATAGGGATGGGTACCAGTGTCCGGTGCCATTCTGACATAAACAGTAGTAACCAGACCGAAAAGCAGCGCACATTTCGGTGCTTTATTTCGGTGCTTTTTTTTCCTGAGCTGTGATACACTTCTAGCCAATCATTTTACGTTTCCGAGGATAGTAGGTGGGCCCAGGTACGTACGTTCTTTTAGAGCAGAGCTACAGATTAAAAATGGCCAATGGCGAAGCGGTCAAAAGTCTGGCTGTACTTCATAGCAAAATGTGCAAACTCAGCAGCCTGCAACAAGTGCTTTAAGCTGATACTGTGATACTGTCAAAGGAGGTAACACCTCAAATCCGATGAAACA